GATAAGTAGCATACCAATATCAACACTATCAACCATTGTCAACACTATCATCAACAACCATCATTTACCAAGGAGAAAAAGGAAGAAAAGTGAAGAAAAGTGAGAAAAATCGTTGCCAACTCGCGGCCTTCTCGCGATTGCACTGCGCGGCTTTACGTTTTTGGTTCGTTTTGGCTCGTCCGAACTCGGAATTGAGTTCCGTTTTTTCCTACGCGTAGCTAACCAACCCCTCTATCCAATGATGCTTTAAAACCACACTTTTGCCCAGGATACAAATTTTGTGGAATTTCCAACTTTTAAAAGGGTCGGTAACTTGCGCGGCTTCGCATTTTGGTTCCGTCCGGATTCATTCGAACTCGAAATCAAATTCCGGTTTTTCTTATGTGTAGCCAATAAGTCCACCATGATTGCCGGTCTATAATCGACTCCTCACGAGACTTTCGACCTGCACACCAAAAACGAAGAAAAACTGAAAAAACACACGAAAAACACAAAGAAAACCAAAATGGAACAAAATACATAATAACACAAAACTAACTAAAAACTAACAAAAAGACTTAAAACAGGGAAAAAGAATTACAAAACAATAACGAAAAACGTAACAAAAATAGTACAAACAATTCCCATGTCGAGGCACCATGCTTGGATCCGTTTCCCTTGGAATTGCGTCCCGTTGTCCGAGATTAACACCTTTGGAATTCCGAATCGACAGCAGATATTGTTGAATAAGAACTGTATCATTTTTTCTTCAGTAATTCGAGTTAAGGGCTCCGCCTCGACCCACTTGCTAAAATAGTCGACTGCGACTACTAGAAATTTTCTTTGTCCCGTCCTCATCGGCAATGGGCCCACCAAGTCGATTCCCCATTGTGCGAAGGGAATTGGGGAGCTGATTGTCGTCATGTATTCGGCTGGAATATGGGTGACTTGGCCGTGTCGCTGGCATTTATCACATTCTCGCACCAGTTTTTCTGCCATCGTTCGCATCTTAGGCCAATAATATCCTGCTCGCAGTGCTTTACCCGTTAGGGGTCGAGATCCCAAATGCGCTCCGCAACATCCTTCATGGATTTCTCTTAGAACATGAATTCCTTCTTCTTCGGAAACACACCGCAGATGAGGCCCGACTAGCGACTTCTTGTATAGGATCCCGTCGACTTCGAAATACTTGCTTAAATATCGAGCCATCTTTTCCGCTTCTTGCTTGTCTCCTGCAGGGACTCGACCCTGCAAGAGTTCGCGAATCGACTTCCTCCAATCATCCTTCTCATAATGCACTTTATAATTCAACATGTTGCACTTTATATAACAACACGTTGCACATTACAAAACAACACGCTGCACTTTATCACTACTACCAGATTGTACAAAAGAGATCGAAACCGATCGGACACATTTTTTTTCAACAACAAATAATAAAAATAATTAATAAAATTATTAACACATTATTATTAATAAATACTAATAATACCAACTATCATATTGCACAATAAAACACTGAAACCGGCCGATTTCAAAAATTTTCAACCACTAATAATATAAAAATAATAAATAATCTTATTAACATAAATATAATTTTAATATAATAGGATAATTCCATTAACCGAACTGAATAAACCAAATAATTATGCTCGACTTGAATTTGATTTGGGACAAAAGATCGGTTAGTTCAATCTGCACAGTACGAATAGACACCGTGCACCATAGTGATATGTGAATTGCACCATAGTGATGTGCGAATTGCATTTTAATGATTGTTATATTGCACCGTATATTTCGTTTACATATATACAATTTTTTAATTTAAAATAATAATATAAAACGTAAACAAAAAAACACACAATACTGTTAAAGTACCAGAATTCAATATTGCACTTTATATATAGATACATTGCACATTATACAGCAATCCGTTGCACCTTATAAAACAACACGTTTCACGTACTAAAATTACAGTAATTCTAATGATCGATCGAATAATATTAATTGGTTTATGTCGATTTGGTTAATTTTTAAATAAACAAAATAACCGAATATGCCAAACTATATGAAAAATAATATCGATTTTTTTATTTATTTGTACTTTTTATTATAAATGATACTATTTTTTCTCTATATTTTTATTTATTGCGAGTGCACATTAGGGTTATACGAATTGCATATAAATGTCTTTCCAATTGCACAAAATCGAACGATATTCCGACGACCAAAAATTCGGTACGAATTTTTATATTTTTGTTCTATTAATATTTATATATCATAAACTTCGGTACGATGTCATTTTATTTTAATTTAAATAACTGAAATAAAAATCAAACTATATTGAAAAACATTATTTTGTAAATTTTTCGTACAATAGCTACTATAATTGACAAGACTAAAAATTTCGATTCGAATTTTTATATTATTAACAATTATCTATTTTAACTTTTAATTTTATAATACTAACTACAATATTATAAATGCATACAATAAGTTAATTCAGTTATTTCGGGAAATCGAATAACTTGATCATTTATGTTCGATTTTAATTTGGATTGCGATAAAAAATACCATCAGTACGATTAAAGACTCACATTCGTGCACATTTACGATCAAGGCGATGCACATTGTTGTTATTATTATGCAAATAGCACATTAATGTCTCACATACTTCACATTAGCAACGAAGCTGGCCAAAATAATATTTTCGATTCGAAACATTATATATTAGCTCAAATATAATTTTTAAATTTTAAAGGTTCGTTTATTTGGGGTCAATGTCGGCTTTAGAATTTAAAAATTACTTATCACTATCTTTATATTCATTAAATTATTAATAATTTAGCATAGATATTAATTTCACTAATTAATTTATGTTGTAATTAAAGTTCAAGAAAATTACAAAATAGTCCCTAATATTAACCTAATTTTCATAAACTAGCCCCTAATTCAATTCACACCCAAAACCACCCAAAATACATTTCACCGACATCATTCACAAACAATTCAACCAATTGTTTCGAATAAAGCAGCCAAAATCATTCAGACATTCACATAGCAATTCACCCAATTCTTTCGCATAAATCAGTGCACCTAAATCAAAATTCACCCACAACACCTAATTCATTCACACAGCACATCACGATGCAGTTCAAAATTCACGATGCAATTCCTCAACCCAAATAGCATTTCCGGCCGCCGCTTCCTTTCTCCCGTTCAAATCGCCGGCGAGCTCATCCCGTCAGGTCGCCATCCCTCTACTATTCCTCTGCAACTCGCCGGAACGTGGCGCTCGACGGGCTGGCTGAGTAGGTTTGAGACAGGGGCAGGTGACAGTGGTGGCAGTGCTCGACGGTATGTTAGCGGCGGCGACAAATCGGCAACGACGGGAGGATTCCGATGCGTTCGGGAGGACCCGTGGACCCGTGGTTTGTGGCGGGATGATTTCGGTGCGTTCGGGAGGACGGGAGAGGGAGGGCGCTGTTGGGAATGGTTGACGGCGCTCAACGGGATGGTAGCGGCGCCGGCAGTCCGATGACGGCGGCGGTGACCAGTGGTTTGTAGGCTGATTTCTACCGGGCCTGCTGGAGTGTGTGTGTGTGTGTGTGTGTGTGTGTATGTGTGAAATTGTATCTGATTGTGAAGGAGACGTGAATAAAAAAGAAAGTGTGGGTCCCATGTGGTATAGGGGTAATTACCAACTTATCCCTAATTATTGGTCAAATGGACATATTTGACCACAATAGTTCAAATAATTACCAGATTGCCATTAATGATTGACCACTATTTATTAAAGTTTGACTTCATCATGGCCATTGACTTGATGGATCCCATGGTGTAGATTCATTCTTATTTCTTTCACTATCTACCATTCTCATATGATCCTAACCCTATATATATATATATATAAAAGTGGTTTTACACAGCCGACTCAAATTTAGTCTTTAGTCGACACAATAAATTAAAACAATAAAGTTTGATTTCATTTTTTTTCTAAATTGTAACTTTAAGAGTAATTGTTTCATGTGTAACAAACAGAAACTCGCTAATTGATGGTTCGCTAATTTTTTTTTCATTTCCCGATTGACAGTTGAATTGCTTGTGACAACTCTTCATTCCAAAGTTACGCATTTTTTGGTGCTTGAACAATCTGTTGAATCCAAAGGCAAATAACAGATTCATTAGACGAATGATGAAAATGCCTTGAAGGTTCGTGAAAAAATTCAATAACTGAACACTTACAACTATTTTTAACACGAACGAATGAGTGCAGACAATTCTTATTCTTTTCAGCTTGGCACTTTTGCAATTCTAGCGGAAGAATTAATTTTGGCGAACACGGAGAAACTTGTCTTTTAGTTCATGTCCCCATTGTACCGTACTACCGTCCATGGAACTCAACCAACATTCATCCTATGCACTATAGACAATTTTATCCACTGAATATGATGACTCTTGGGGTGTGGCTCAGCTCATATCAAACGACATTTTTTCAACTGAAAATTTGTTTTAAATATTTGGATAGATTAAAATGGAGATCTTACGATGTTAGTAACGGCAATTTGATAAATGAAGAGCTTGTCAGGATAATTTTGTTAATCTTAAAATAGTTAAAAGATTGCGAGTTTTTATAATTTAAAATGACTAATAATCTTATAACATCATATAAGATTCATAAGGCGTCGTGTTAATACATCATTGCTCTGCAATAATTCAACAAAGTCAACATAGAATTTGAGTTACAGACAGAACAAAGAAGAAAAATGCATATAGAAAAGGAGAAGAAGTTAAACAATATAGCAAAAATCATTTTTGAGCATCTGATGCAAAACAATTATTAAAATTTTGCAACCACTCATACCAAATCACCACAACCTTGTTCAACGATATTAAAAAAAAAAAAAAANTAAAAAAAAAAAAAAAGCTACACATGCAGAACAAAATCCTGATGAAAAGCAACAATGGAGAAACCTTATGGTGAACGCCAACAACCGCATCTTATGATTATACTTATGAAATTATGCAGAAAGCGTCTCATGAGCACCTGTCTCAATAGTAACCACCGCATGAGCGGCTGTATCTGTCCAGTCAGATGATGCATCACCCTAAGAAAAATACAGTCAAGAAAATTCAAACTACAAAGAAAGGTAATGCAGAAAATGTACCTGATTTCTGGGAGGGAAAAGAAAAGAAAGAATAATGGAACCTTATGTTGAAGTTTATTTTATGAACCGTCACCGTCATTCTTGTTCTTATCTCGTTCATCTTTCAACTTACCACAAGAACTGCAACAGGTTGAATTGATTGAAGTAGCTTCTCCAACCATCTGTTGTGTTGTGTTTCCCGATTAGATAGGATAACAGAGTATCCCGATTCGGTACCACAAGCGCTCCTAGAAGTTTCTGCTTTTATCGAGTGAAATCTAGTAAGTCCTCTCTATCTATCCACCTTGGTAACATTCAAAGGAGACACGTTCCTCTTCCTTATAAGTCGTTTACTCTTCACTTGGTCTCCACGGTCCACAATAGCATCCTCAGGCTGAAGATCAAGGTCACCGATTTGTGCAAGATTTTTCTAAACAAGGAGGTTAACCTCGTGCTGCTTATTGTCCTTGTAACCTTTGTCGGTTAAGTTGAAGAGCCTGCTCTGTTCAGTGTCATACATTTTTTTCACGATGAACCCGGGATGTTGTTTGAATCATAGAATCTGCTTATTTTTTAGGTATGAAGTGCACCACACACTTATGCATGACTGCTCCTGCGGCATGTAATCTGCTTATTTTGAGGTATGAAGTGCACCACACACTTATGCATGAATGATCTCTGTGGAAACTATATAACAATTCCCTTGTGTCACTCGACTGCCAATTTCCACCGCCTTTTTTCTCTACTTCTTCTAGATGACCGTAACAACACTTTCCTGCGTTTGGGAAATATCCTATACAACAAATAAGGACTGATTAACACTGCTTGCAAGAAATGCTTATACTTTGATTTGTGAACTGCGCATCCAGATAACCAAATGATTCCTTACAAAAAGAAATTCTTACATCTTATATGTTTTATGCCTCTCTCATCCTCTCACGCTCCTCATCATGCTTTCTATTCCATTCCATTCTTTGGGATACTATTGAAAGAAAGTAGTGCCTATTATTTTAATAAAAAACATACAATTAATGCTAAACAAGTTGTGAAGGCCAAAACAAAGAAATACAAAAATAAAGGGCAAAAAAATGTAAAAAAGGAACTGAAATCAAACCGGGCGATCTAATTCCTGTGAAAATTTCTGAGACATGAGCAGCTTTGCCTACTTGTTCAAAAATCGAGTATCCAGATCGGCCGATGTGCCCTAATTCACAAATTTTAGAAAAAATAGAAAGGAAAATACATCAGCGATCTGTTGCAAACGCGAATCAACTGAAACACAGAGTAACTAAAAGTTAGCAAAACGAAAAATATCAGTAAGGCAAATGATCGAAGTACACTATATTGAAAGCAAACGAAAAACATAAGAATAATATTTACCCAGAAAAATAGCTTTTGACCAACAACTGCAATGGTTATTAAAGTTATACAGGCAACTTCCATTCAAGTTTGCGGCAATAAATAAGTACACACCCTCCCATTCCACCTCCACCCCACTGAAGTAAAGAAAGAAAATGAAAAAAAAAGGTATATTTACTGGTGGGAAAATATTCTATGGTCACTGGGAATCACAAGCCAACAATCGCATAATATATTTCATCAACCGGAAAATTTAATAGTTTTACCTAAAGACAAGCGCAAAAACTTTCTGTTACAATTCCAAACTTAGTTTCACAACAAAATATACCACACAAAAAGATTTAACTTAACCTATTAAAAATAAATGTTTAAGCGAATGATATAACACCACCTCCAAAGAAAGTATTTTTTCCACCAAAATTAGGGAAAGCCAAACTAAATGATTCATAGAGAGAAGTTCTAAGTAGGGAAGCGTCACCATTTTACCTGAATTCGCAAATGGCCTAGTTGAACCCTCAGCCTCTTGCTTACATTTGTATCAATTTTTAGAAAGTTCTACAAGCCAATTATACTTTAAAACATACTCACATTTGTAATCTTATCTCCACATTTTGAATCTATTTTCTAAAATCCCAAAATGTATTAAACAAAATAATAAATTCAATTTTGAAACAAATATAATTAAAAGAGATCCAAAAGAGATCGTTCACCATTGCAAACAACCAAACTATGTACCATACCCCAGTCAAAATGAAGTCAACAATATAAACATCAGAAAAATAACCTCCACTTAAGCATCATAAGCCATTTTCAATCCCCAAGCATGAAACTTTATCGTCATCCTGATACACTGAAGACAAAAACTTCTAAGTTATTGTGAGAAACATAAAAAGCACCAAAGTACACATGGCACCATTACAAATTGAAATATTTTTACAGAACATTACTAGTCCCACAGAAAAAGAAGAAGAAGAAGAACAAAGAAAAATCAATCTCGATTTTGATCTTCCTTTTTGTCCCGGTCCATTCTTCTATGTTGTACCACAACCAACAAAAACTCAATGTAACTGAACCTTGTTTATTGCAAAACCTATAATTCTGATTTAATACTTACTGTGACTCATTGCCTAAAGAATAAAGCACAACCTTATTGGATAGAGGAAAAAAAAACTTATTAAATAGAGGGTATATCGTATGTATTAGAATTACCTCCTACTTACACAGTGCTTGTATTTTTAAGATTAATTTGTTGAATTGACTTGATACTGTCGGGACCAATATCCAAGCCTATCCAGCCATCAGAAACTGCGGATGATGGAAAATTTGGTGCCATAATTTTCATCACTCCTCTTCATAGCAAAAACAAACTGTTCTACCTGACACTAGATATGGTTCCATACTTCCATAGCAGCTCTCACAATCAACGGGTTTAATGCACCAAATTCCCTTGTATTATACTAAATCTGCATCAAATCCCCCTGTATTATATTAAATCTGCGCGTTTTCCCCCTCTAATTTAAAAATTGCGACAGACTCCCTTATATTAAGGTCTCAGGTGCACACGCTCCCTTGTCTCCCGTTATACCCTCTGAATATTATACATATATTTATGATATATTGAATACATCGCGAGAAATTGAATTAAAAAAAATTACAACCCATAGTATTCGAACCTGGTACTTTTTGGGAGCAAGACAAGCAATCATCCACTACACCATTCAAGGTTGAGTGTTAGAACTAGGAACGTTTGATATATATGGACACTGTTATGGATAAATGAAATTAAATTTAGAATATTTAACTCATATTAAATTAAATTATTAAAATATAAAGTTATGATAATTCAAATATAATAAACTAAATTATATAAAATTAAACGAAAAAAATAATTCAAATAACTTATTATGATAAACGGTAAAAAATAATTAAAATAAATATAAATAAATATAAAAAATTGTAGTTAAATAATAAATAATATAATAATTAAGTAAATCTATATATTTATAAAATATTTAAAAAAATATAAAATAGTATAAAAATAGTTAAAATAAATAAATACAAATCATATATAGCTATTTAATAAAAAATATTTTATTTTCAAAATTATACTTTAATAATATATTATATATATAAGTAGCATTTAATTTTATTACAAATTGAATGTAATTTAATTTATCATTTAATTTTATTATAAATTTAATTAATTAAATTAATCATTTAATTTTATTATAAATTATATTTAATATAATTTATACAGATTATATTACGTCAATTCATTAAAACGTGTATTGAAATTTATATTAAAATTTATTTTACATTTATATAATTAATTTATTAAAATGAAATTATCATTTTGTTTTTATATTAGATAGTAATATATTTTTTAAGAGTAAATCATATTAAAATTATTTGATAAATAATATTTTTTATTATATTATATTATGTTAATTTCAGTTCCTTATTTATTTATTTTATTATTTCATAATAAGATATTTGATTTATTGTTCATTTTACTTTATAATTTTTATACTTTATTATCTTATATAATTATTATTTTTATTTTTCTTTAATTAGATTATTTTAATTTTATTTATTTATTAATTTCATTTTTATATTTATTTTTCTCATTTAAAATTTATTTAATTTTAGTTCAAGCTAATACATTAAATTTTATCTTACTTTATTTTAATTTAATTTTTTTCATTATTTTAAGTTAATTTAATTTATTGGAAGTTATTAGTATTATTTTTGTTTTTTTCCGAAACGATAGATATGATATTATAACCAAAAAGTACAAATGTGCAAAAGCAGCCCATAGCTGAATAAGATAGCTACCAACTAAAAACTGAGAGGACAGGTCAGCAGACCGCCTAGAACCTCAACTAGCCAAGCTAAAATAAAAACTGACTCAAAACACTACAGACAACTAAATAAACTAAGATCGCTCCCCACAGGAGAATAGGATCGGCCCCCACGGGGTAATCAACACAGGGGCCAACGGCCCAGACCAAAAAAAACCAAACATAAAACACTCAGGCGAAGAGCCCAGACCAAAAACACTTCACTAAAACAGACTCAAGCAACAACAATCAACAACAATAAAAACAAACAGGCCCTTCCCCAGCAATCGAAAGAGCTCGACCCGCAGCGAAACGATCGACACAAAAAGGTTCCAGATCCGAGCAGCGGCTACCGAAACTGCGAATTGCCTATACAGTAGAACCAACCGAACCCCAAACCAATCCAGAGTCGACCCGTCCCCAACCAAGAGAGAGGCAGCCGGCATTCACACCAGACCCACCCAAACTCGTCAAACACCACTAGCCGAGCTCGGGAGAACCATACCCCTTGCCGCCTAACACCACTAGACGCACAAAGGATGGTGAGAATGACACGCCCCCTCAACTCCAACCGCTGCCACAAGCAGTCGCAGCACCAGAGTCCCAACCCACCCTTCAGAGCACGCACCGCCTCGGACCACCACGAAACTCCAGCGACCAGAAGCCAAACGCAACCAGAACGGCTAGGCTTCGCCGGAAAAACGCAGCCCAACAACCACAGACAAGGAGAGATGAGGGGTTTACCTCCCAAGTACAGCTCCCACCGGCAATAGATGAGGGAACTCGATTCGCCGGCCAGAAACCGACCAGGAGGATCGCCACCGCCAACTTTAGCCCCGTTTGCAACCATATGAGCGGACCCCCGACCGCCGAGTTTCCTTGGCCAGAGCAAGGCACGCGACATCAGGATAAGACCAGGTGGAGAAGAACGACTGCGGGTCTTGACATCTTCGTTACCGAGGAAGGCGGATCGAACGAGATTGAAGGAAGGAACGAGATTGCACTGATTTGGGGAAGGGTTTTCAGATCGCCTTTTTTTTTCTTTTATTTTTGTTCTTTAATTGTTTTTTTCATGAAGTTATTAGTATTATTGTTATTAATTATTTAATTTATGGTAAATTGACATATTATTCTTTTATTTTATTTATTTATTTATTTTTAAACACTTTAATTCATTTCAGTATGATGTATAGATATATTTATGTTCAATAAATTACACATCCATTCATATGGCCTAGTGGTTGAGCGGCCATTCCCTTCCTTTCCAACCTAGGTTCGAATCTTGTTGTCCATATTTCATACCATTTAGGTTTTGCACATAATTCAAGGGTAAAACAGTAATTTTCGCCACTTTGGGGTGAAAAAATAAAGAAAAAGCCACACAGCACGCGCGTGCACGCCACTTCCGTCATCTTAGACGGTTTAGGGTGTTTCGCGCATGCAAAACCTTAATAGAAGGAGTCTGACGCAATTTTTAAAATAAAGAGGAGAACGCGCATATTCAGTATAATACAGGGGGATTTGATGCATTAAACCCCACAATCAACTATCAACAAAATTGAAAAGGATTTCAGAATTACACGACAGTCAAATAAAAGTTGCACGGATTTGGGGTACCAACGGTGCTAACTAATACAACACCCTCTACTCTACTGCGCTATTCAATGACCATTGGATGATATTACTTTAAGCTAATGGCAATTTGATGAGGAGAGAGACTTGTATTATAAATTAAAATGCAAGAGGGAGATATGATGTTTCCCACTAAACATTTTACATTTTACAAAGAGAGACTTGTTTTAAAATTTTACTTACTCATAAAATTATATGTTACATTTTTATATGTTTTTTAATCTAATATTTTTATATAACAAATTTGTAAAATCACTTAGAAAATTATATATGTAGGAGAGACAACATATTAACTAATTATTTTAAGAGAGAATAAATATGTAAATTGTAATTCTAAATAAATATGTTTTTCTAAACAATGTCACAATTTAAAAAAACTAGAATGTGGCTAAATTAACTAAATGGAAGTCTTTCTAAAAGTTTAATTATTTAAAATTTTATAAGTTTCATATTACTTAAAATATAATGGATTGATTTTTTTTATTTTAAAAAGTGTATATTGCAATTATATCATTTCTTTGAGAAAGTTAAAATAATGGTTTGATAGATGACCCTTTATTTTATTAATTAATGTAATATTATATAATTAATATTTGAAACTTTTTTATTTTCATTTTTAAATGTAATGTTATACAAATATTGGACAAATAAGTATTTCCAAAGTTCAATTAAACCATGAATTTCCTGTTGAACCATGAAGTTCTCCACCCATTACACATGAAGTTCCCCACCAATTACAGTAGTTTTCAACTAATAAAAAAATCACCATCAATAATTACAACCAAATATATATTATTGATTATAAAAACACCATACTTGGGGGATAAATATACATAATATCAAAAATTAAAGCCAAAATATATATTACACTTAATATTAGCTCAATTACAAATCGAACCCAGTTAACAAACGAAATTAAAATTCAATGATATTTATGAAGCCACTATTTATAATGGTTAAATGAAAAATGGATTTATTATTAGTATTTTGTAACTCAAATATACCCTTTGTATTTTTTCTTGGCAGAAGGGTGGGGTACGAGACGCGAGAATTGAAAAGTGTAAGAGAAACACTTTATTGTGTTGTGTGATTAAAAAATAAATAAAAATTTTGAGCCATTAGATTAAAGTAATATCATCCAATGGTCCTTAAATGACACAGTAGAGGGTGTTGTATTAGTTGCCACCGTTGCCCCCCAATCCAAGTTGCACACCTTGCTATTAGCATCAGTTCCCCCACGCCGTGTGGGTGATGTCGGTCTCAAAAGGTCAAGCAGGAGGCGGCGATCGAAATTGGGTCGCTAGGGTTTTTCTGTATGCTGCCGTTTTTGGGATCCGACCCTGAGCTCGTTCACAGACGGCAATACGGTGGCCATAGATCTCCCGGGGACTGCTTTGAGTCCGCAAGGCAATAGAAAGAGGGTTGAAATTGGGGCTATAGAGAAGACAGCAACTTGCGTGAAGAAGAAAAAGGGAAGAAAATCAAAATGAATCCCGTAACTTGCGTGAAGAAGATAAAAAAATCTGTCAAGAATGGAAAAGCTTTCGTGCAGCGAAAATCTGTCAGACTGAATAGACGACAATAGCCTTAGCATGTTGGAATCTAATGAACAACTGTAAGAGGAGTTTAGTGAATAAGTTTTACAGCCCAAAAATCCGGCCTCCATCACTTTAAATGCTACTAAGATTAAAGAGGAAATTGCACCCCCTACTTCATCCTCCTTAATATTTTATAAATTTACATCTCGTAATTAATTATTTATGGATTTACTATACTAAGAATAAAAATTTGCTAATATACCTAAAGTTTTAATTTTTGCAGTTATCAGATAATTAAAGATAATGGGCGTACATTACGGGCAAATTAAATCCTCAAAA